TGTATTTTAGGCCAGATAATATAATGCTGAGTGACAAAAGATTAAGAAAAGTATTATTTTGTTATTTGGTGTCCTTATAAAACTTCTGTTAGTAATTTTGAGCAGCCGCCATATTAAAAGTGGTAGGTACCATTTTTTCAAGAATACTTCCACGCACCACGCACTTTGTGTAAAATAAGATAATTTATTAAAAAATAAATCTTGCAACTTTACAAAAAAAATATTTTTAAAAATTGTTCACGAGTTACAACAAATTTATTTTTAGATTTCAAAAAATTCATAAAGAAGCTTCCACAAGATCTTCATGGATTGTTACACTTCTATCCGGTATGTCTAGGATAATACTTGTGTTATCCTAAAATTAATCATATAATTTCCGCATAGTAAACGCAAAACTTCATACAGGTTGTGTCTTCCATTTCACAGATTATTTCCTCTGCGAGATAATGAGAACTTAAGACGAAGTTTCTAAGATCTTCCTGTAAAACAAAACCATAAATCGATTAATCCACTCCAAAAATTCATAGAACAAAGAAACAGATATATAGTATACTAGCATTGCCAATGACCAAAAACCAAATTCTTAAGTTTTACATATAATACTACGTACTAATATACTAATACGGACAATATTTTAAGATATGAATATCTAATAGGTAAATATGTATTTTACGTATCAAAATATATTAGATTTCCTATGCATCGGCTGGCACCGACTTCGAAAATATCTGATTAGGTATCTATTCTAAATGAAAACCCCCGTTTAGTTATTTTTTACATTTTAGTGCATGGAAGTCGGTTTTTTTTAAGTTTTTATATGTATAGATTTTTAACAATTATCGTTTACCGTTCTTAGATGACCTTCGCTTTTACTACATTACAGAAATCTCGATAATTGGTCGATTATTTCCGACTTGTTACACAAATATACCGGTTGCTTATTTTCGCAATCTTCTGTTATATAAAATTCTCGTGTCACAGTGTTTGTAACAAAACTCCTCGGAAACGGCTTGACTGATGCTTATGAAAATTTGTGAGTATATTCAGTAGATCTGAGAATAGGATATAAACTATTTTTCATAGCCCTAAGTGATAAGGGTGGTCCACCCTAGGGATGAACCCGACTGGAGCGAGGGTGAGTCGCTAGTATGTTCATAAATTTTAACATGTAACCTCCCTAAGAACCTCTCTTCCTATCAGTGAAAACCGTAGGAAAATCTATACTTTCTGTGATTAACCCGACCAAATACAAACTCTAAGACTTTAATATATAATATGTAGATATGATGGTACGTATATTAAAAAGCTACTTAATTTTAACACTACTAACATAGTTCAGATTTCAATTCACAATATATGTAAGTACATTTATTTAAACAATAGCATAAACCCTTTTGTTAACTCGCGTTAATTGCTGCTAATTCCGAGCTCACTGCTCAGTGTTCAGTGCTTTGTTTGTTCTAAAGAGATATTAGATAATAGATAGTGTATTCCATTTAAATTACTACTGCAGTCCGTTAAATTACTTATATTTCAATGCTTACTGAGCTCATAATCTATACATATAATAAAATTGTAACTAAGCCGAATCTGTACATTAGATATTTTTTGGAAAATCTTATTGAAATAGACATTATTATCGATACAGAGGCCGAATCTATAGTTTTTAGAATTTTTGTCTGTCTGTCTGTTACCGCATCACGGAAAAACCACTGGAGGGATTTTGATGAAATTTGGTATGGTGATAGCTGGTTATCCGGGTCAACATATAGGATACTTTTTACCGCGGGAAAATATCTCATTTTGAAGAAAAAATACAAAAACTGCAATGTAAGAGTATACTAATATGTAAAACCTAAGAATTTGGTTTTTGGTCATCTGAACGCGGGCGGAGCCGCGGGCAATGCTAGTGCTTTATAATTATATAGCGGACCCGACAGACGTTGTCCTGTCTACACGTCTTTAATTTGAAAATTTCAAACTTTTTTTAATATTTTTTTTGATGAAAATTATTATTCAAATTGTGAATCTAAACCATTCCCAGATCCCCTTGAACACACACAAAAAATTTCATCTAAATCGGTCCAGTCGTTTGAGAGAAGTTCAGTGACATACACACTCACAGAAGAATTATATATATAAAGATTTTGACGACTTACCTACCGTAGTTTTCGACGTCTGAGGTGGCGCGTACAGGTCTCATTACCAACAAATGTATATACAAATGATTTTATTTGTTTTATATAATTAACTTTTGTTGGTGTAATCTATATTCTGTATATTATAGTCATGGCTCAGCAGAAGTTTCTAAAAGAAAATAATATTTATAAGGTAATTACGTTATATGTCAAATTATTATAATTTCCGTTAATAGGTAGGTATGTCTAATAGTATAACGGCGAACTCGGTATTTTTAGTTATTTTCCTTTAATATATTTTGTGTTCTTTATATTTTATAAGTTTATTTAATTAGATTATATGCGTTTATATAAATATCTTCGATCCAAAATCTTTTTTATCCAAAAGTTGTAATGTATTTTTTATGCCAAGAAACTTGACGTCAAAAGTAAGCTAAAACTTGCCATATGCGACTTTTTTGACAACTTGATATCATATTAAGTACCTACATGCTGAAATTTGACCTCAAGAAATAAAATGCTTTCAAACACTTGTCTATACTTTAACACCTGTACTTACGTAAAAGCAATGAAAGTTATGGGTAATAAAAGAGTAGGTACCTACTGTGCATACAATAGCATAGTAATTCAATTTAGTATTTCGCATTCATAATAAACGAAATTGCATAGGTAATATGCAATTATGATATGTCTAAGTTCATATACACATAAGGGCTTGAGTGCGAAATCGTAACTTTACAGATGAGGTTCTCAAAGTTTAAATACAATATACTTATCTTAAAATGATACTTTTTGGTTCCTTACTTGAGGTAAAATTAATAGATTTGATATGAACCTTAAAATTATTTTGTAACGTATTTTAGCTTTTGACTTTATATATTAAGTTGATTCCCCGTATAAACTTTCATCACCATTTTCATCCTCTTAAGGGATGACTTCGGGGATAAAAAGTATCCTATGTCCTTCCCAGAGTCTCAAACTATCTTCTTACCAAATTTCATCTTAATCGGTTCAGTAGATCCAGAGATTATCCCCTATAACGTCACAAAATCACAATTCACAAACTCACAAACTTTACCTCTTTGTAATATTAGTATAGATATGTTTTTACCTGCGGCTCCGTTCGTATGGTTAGTGAGGCGGACATAAACTCAAATCCAAATCTGTTATTTCATAGCGGTTGAAACTTAAAAAGATAACAAACAGATGGAATAACTTTCCTATAATTAGTATGTATGTTTATGCAATATTTATACACTTACCTAATCAATAAAATATAAAATATTAATGTATTCTAATGTTTTAAATAATATTTATAACAAATTAAAATAGCTAAATTGGTAGTTAAAACTATTTACGTAATAACCAATAACTATCGATAAACTCAAACATATCGCTAATTCATTCCTCCATATTATGTAAATGACTACTTCTCAGTAACTATCCTTCCTTATTTAACTTTTTAGCATTGTTAACAGTTTTTTTTTTTAATTACAGCTTTTTGTTCTCGACTCCTCCTACATTGTAGGTCTACCGATAAAAAACCTACATGTTAATCTATACACATAATAAAATTGTAATTAAGCCGAATCTGTACATTATCGATACAGAGGCCGAATATATATGGTTTTTAGAGTTTTTGTCAAGAATATCCCTCTTCTAATGTAACATATGCTTTTGTCAGGACTCCGGAGGGGCGACTTAACGTCATACCTAAAAATAATTATTGCTCAATATAATCTCAAATCTGTAACCAATAATAATCGACATTAGACACACAATGTTAAATTATAATAAAAGGAATTTTATTATAGACTAGCGGCTCACTCTCGTTTAGCTCGGGTTCGCCTCTAGAAAAATACTTATAGAGATCTATTAGTTCCCACGGGAACCATTCATTTTTCCGGGATGTAAAGTAACCTGTTGTTTGACCGGCAACATAAGATATCAGCATGCCAAATTTTACTAAATTAGCTGCATAAGTTGTTGTGTACTGAGCTGTATAAGTTACTATAGTTTTTTAACTATCCCACGGGAACTCTTTAATTTTCCGGAATGAAAAGTATCTTACATGTTGACCGAGAATATAAGGTACGACCATGCAAAATTTCATTTAAATCGGTTCAATAGTTTAGGAGATTAGCCCGTACAAACAGACAAACAGACAGAGAAACAAAAAAATTGAAAAAAATCTGGATTTGTTCTATTTTTGTTCTTAAGAAGATAACTGACTCGGTTTATAGCATTTTTTTTCTATGTACAGTCATTCGACCTCTACAGTTTTATTATATTTATAGATAGAATAAACAACGTATAATAAAACAGTAATATATAATAATGAAAATGGTTATAGCGAGTGTACCTTAGGAGATAGACATATACATACTATTGAGAACTTTTCTATCGACCTTTTTAAGACTTACAATTTTCTTGTACAATGTTTTGATCTATCTCAGATATTTACGTCTTTCATGTACATACATGTTTTAAAATAAGTTTTTATTTTCCTATACAACGATTTATCAAACAAAATCTATGAAAATTTCAAAAATGAGTATTGTCTAAATATTAATGTAATTTATACGTAATATATACAACGATTTATTTTAAATTGTATGATTAGAAAATATGTGGCCCTAATTGCAACGCAGTACACGCGCTAGATATCAAAGAACCGGTGCGGCAACGTCGCTTTGTTATTATTGTATTTACATTTTACATGCGGCGAGAGGTTGCCGCTCCGCGCGACACCGCTCTCGCGTCTCTCCGTCGCGTCCCTCAGTCTCGCTAGAGCGTCCGTCACACTACGTTGTTTTGCCATTTACAATAATAATGAATTTAAACTCATCTAATTCGAGCGAAATGAGCTGGACTAAGATTGAAATTGATTCGGAAATCGAAAGTTCATGTAAACGGGAACGTCTGTACTGGAACTCAGAAAATACGATGAAACTTATCGAAATATTCGAAAAGGACTGCAAAGAGCTATGGGATAATAAACACCCATCAAACAAAGACAGAGCAGCGAGACAAGCAAAACACGAGTATCTTGCGAGCATATTCGGTACCACTGCTGAGGAAATAAGTAGAAAATTACATAATCTAAGGACGCAATTTAATAATGAATTGAGAAAGATAAAGCGAAAGCAGGCGGGGAGTGAGGGGGCGCAGGGGAGCAGCGGGTGGGAGTATTTCGACGCCCTGTCGTTTCTGATGCGAGAACCCTCTACCGACCCCAATGACACCATCGATGGAGTTAATTTGGCGGTACGTCCCTAATATTGCGCTAATTTCTTATATTATCATATGTTCTTGGATATTATTGAATTATAATTCTCGTGATACAGTAAGGCAGTGGTCGCCCAGTGGTAAGGCGCTCGCTTGGGAAACCGAGTGAAGCGGGTTCAAAGCCCGGGTCTCGCACCTCTGATATTTTCATGTGCGAATCATTTCCAACATGAATACCACTTGTCTTAACGGTGAAGGAAAACATCGTGAGGAAACCTGCATGTCTTAGAGAACCTAGCAAGTTTTCAAAAGACATGTCAAGTTCGCCAACCCGCACTTGGCCAGGGTGGTGGACTATGGCCTGATTCCCCTCGTACTGAAGGGAGGCCCGAGCTCATCAGTGGGACGTTCAAAAGGGCTGAATATAATATAGTAGAATTTTTAAAAATCAGTATTGAGATATTTCTAAGACGAAATATCAAATATTTTTATATAGTATTACAGGATACCTAATTGTTAGACGGCTTTCAAAGAAAAGTTAATTTAAGTTACCTTTTCGAGTAAGAGCGACATAATAATAAGATACGAATCAAACATTAATTTTATATAAGTAGGTAAGATCATTCACGCTCAGATTAGGATTGTTGTTGAAAACAAAACAAATAATTGCACATCCAACATCGCAGATTCATATTCATTATGTTCTACTTTTTCATTTTACTTTTTACGCAACGGGGAACATTTCTTTTATCGAGCAAATTATCTCCATCATAAAAGAGCGAATGGTTCACTGCTATCATTAGTGCGTGACTGGTTCGAATGTTCAGTTTGAATTTGGTTGTAAATGGTTTACTGGCATGAACGTCAATCGATCGATTTCAATATAATTTGTGTTCATGAGACGCTTGTTATCTTTCAAATATGTAATTAACACTTTTAGTACATATATATAAAATTCTATCTACGTCTTGATCGTAATATTTATTTATCATTTCATATACATAGTTAATGTATGTATGTATTCAGCCCTTCTTAACATCCCACTGTTGGGCACAGCCTCCGTTCAGTACGAGGGGAAGTCTTTTGAAAACTTGCTAGGTTCTCTCAGACATGCAGGTTTTCTCACGATGTTCTCCTTCACCGTTAAGACAAGTGGTAATCATGTTGGAAATGATTCGCACATGAAAATATCAGAGTTGTGAGACTCGGGATTTGAACCTGCTCCACTCGGTTTTCCAAGCGAGTGCGTTACCACTGGGCTACCACTGCCTTACATAAGTAATTTAATAATATATTTTTTCAATATCTCGTCAATTCGAAATAAGTTTCGTAGTTATTTAGTCATTTTGGAGAAACCTGAAAACCACAAAAACTACAAACACAGAACAAACTGAGTGATAGACAAATATTTTGGTGCAGTGGAAATATTCGTAAGAACTTAATAATGGAAGGATAGAGTCAATTTAATGTAATAAATAGATTATTTAATATAATTTATAGTTATAGCTTATCAATTTTATTAAATAAGTTTACCTTTTTATTAGCTGGCAGAATTTCAAGCAGATGAAGAAATGGAGTTTGGAACACGTGCTCGCCTTTCTGTAACTACCTCGCCTCAGAGAACAAGAAAACCCGGTTTATTGAGGGTAGCTGCTTCTGCACCTCCACCCTTACCTCCAAGTGCACATCCGATGATGTGGCCTGAAGAGCCTCAACCACGGCTCCGACCTGGAATTGTTACTGATGAATGTCAGGTATAAAAACTAATTTATTTGACATAAAATGTCTGATTTTGATGTATCAAAATCTTCTTTATTACGTTATTGCAATTATATATTTTTAAAGGCTTGAAAATAGTTTTGCCTTCAAAGATCGATGGTGTTGGAATATGGGATTAGTTAAATAATTTGCTGTACTTTTTTCGTCCAGGAAGATCAAAAGTACGATCTAACAAAAGTAAATGAAATTCACTTAAATAAATTATAATAATAGGAAAAATCAAACGGAATTCATTATTATCATTCACTAGCGACTCACCCTCGCTTCGCTCAGGTTTGTCTCGAGGTACATTTTGACGTCTACTATGGAATAGAGTTACTTTTTTTAATAGTTATTCTGCTATCGGGCCGGAGACAAATCCAACAAATCAAAAACCATGAAAATCAGTCCAGCAATTCACAAGTTATAAGTGTTCTAACAAACCCTACTATGTTTTATACTCGTATTTATATAGATTAAAAAAATTAAAAAGTTAACCATCTTATTCTGAATATCTAATAGATTTACAGATTCTTATTATCTTCTTCACATTGTAGATTTCATCATCTTCTAAGAATTAAAGGGTCTTTAGTTTTTGGGGGACGGCCTTCCTTAAATAATCTTTGTTGATTTATCTTTATATATTTTTTTTATTTATATCATTCATTAATTCCCAATTAAACCGCTACATTGGTCGTTTATCATTGGTATTATCTAATACATACGGATTCCTAATGCTGTCAAAGTGTAAGCGGTTAGTTGGAAGCGACAGGCAAATTGATGGGATATACTTTCGATGAGATTACGTCAATTATGATGCATTAACTTAACGGCTATCTTCATTTGTGTGATGTGCTCCCACTTAATTATATATTATAATATAATCATAGACTTATACTATCTTTCAATGTTATTGCTCAACAAAAATCGATAAATTCTGTCATTTCTGAAAAAGCATGAATAAAAAAACATTTGTCTATTTATCTAGTTAACTTTATTTTAAAGAAGTGATTTGATAAATAACATTTACATATGTATAATAATCTATCAGGTATTTGGTGACTTCGTAGCATCAGAACTCCGCACGCTCCGATCAGATGAATCTCGAAAGCGATTAAAGAGGATCATACAAAAAGCAATCCTCCAAATAGGCGAAGAAGAAGACGTAAATATTATTACAGATAGCAACGAGCCAAACGTGGAATATCTAGACGTCTTCAGAAATAAAAAGTAGGTCCGAAATCTTTCTTTGATGTTTTGTGACAACTGCATATAAAATGAGGATACAATAAATGTTGTTACATTTTTTTAATAGTTTTCTGTTTTATTATCATCTACTGTGAAATTGGCTTTTTAAAAGATGAAGTCCTTAAGAAAACGAACATAGCGTTTGTAAAATTAATCGTATTTTTTACTAAGCCGAAACAATTCAAATTTGAAAAGATTGTTATATTTATAGTCAGAAATTGTGCTATATTCCGTTTTTCTGTAAATATTATTTTGGTTTAAGTGGGATCTTAAGTGACCAAATTAAATAAACGTCATTTATAAAATATTTTGTCTTAGATTATATAAAGCAATATTTTGTTACTACTTATTAAGATTCTGTATATTTTTTAAAATATTAAATAATTTATATTACTTGTGCTCCCTTATTTGTAATTGCTAGGTTCCTTTTATGTTAAGATACCTATTATAAGCACACCTTTTGGCCTTTAATACTAACAGTAGTCACTGTGTTATTGCAGATTATAATCTACCTATGTACCTAATAAATTTCATCCAAATCTGCCCAGCCGTTTTAAGAATGAATTCGTATTTACAATAATAGGGTGATTATAAACGATACATTTTTTTTAATTTATATAATTATTATTATTAAGCTTATGTAAGCTTTATTTAATTGACGTAAACTTCTAACTAAAACTGAACACATTCCAAGTTATTAATTTGATTTAATTTGATGATATATATTTGATTGATTTGATTGAATTTGATGATATATAGTTGACAAAGTAGTGGATAGTATCATTTTTAGGATTCCAAAATTTTCATATAACTTCGTCATGTCTATTCATATGTCACATCCAATTTACTTGAAGATTATCGATAGGTATTGAAAAGGTCAGGATCCAAAAGGTAAAAAAAGTATCTCTTATAAACCACTACAATGGTCAAGTCAAATAATCAAAGCCAAATAAAATAAGGGCGAAAATATACACAATGCATCGAACTGAGGGAGAATAAAAAAAATTAAGTGTGTATACTGTATAAACATGCGGGATAGCTATGTTTGGATAAGTCTATGAATATATATATATAATATATATATATATATATATATATATATATATATTCTGAAGCAGTGGTATTACTTATTAGTGGTATACGAGTCGTGTTCGCTTACAACATCAAATGAAGCGGGTTGAAATCTCGGATCTAACATCTTTGGTATTTTCATTCACGAATTATTTCTAGCATGATTGTCACTTGCTATTACGGCGAAGAAAATTATCTTGAGGAAACCTAGATGTTTGAGAAAATCCAGCAAGTTTTTGAAAGACAACGTGATGCCCGTCAAATTGCACTAGGAGAATCGTAGTGAGGGAAGCTCGTTCGTGCTAGCCCCCAGGAGCGCGGCGGAACGTTAAAAAAGGGCTGAATTAATTTTGCTTACATTAGTTTTTAAATAATTTTGTATTGGTCTACCGGAAAGTTATGTCCGTTTTTTGAATAAAATAAAATACTTTTTTTTCTTACTATTACTAAACTTTAATAATAATAAATATAATTGCCATTATTACTTATGACTTGCCAGCGTGAAGGCAATTTGTATATTGCTTTTTTTTATTTCATTTTTTGATGCGAAAAATTTAACCAGTGCGTATTTGATATCTTTTTATTTTTGAATTTTTTGCCCTTCAAAAAATTTTGTAAGGACAAAAACAAGTGATAGTCGGAGGGTGCTAAGACCGGGGAATACGATGGATGCGACAGAATTTCCCAGCCTTCTTCTGCAATTTTTTGCAGAGTCCGCAAAGCAGCATGTGGTCTGGCATTATCATGGTGCAGTATGATGCCCTTCCTGTTGAACATTGCCGGCCTCTTTCCTTGGACTGCTTGTTTTTAAATTATTCAGTTGTGGACAGTATTTCTCCGAAATGAGCTTTTCGTCCGGTTTTAAAAGCTCATAATGTATTGGTCCTCGAATGTCCTACCATATACACAACATTCTTCAAAGTCAAATTCGGCTTAGAGTTGGAAGGGCGAGGTTTTCCGGGTTCACAATATGCCCTTTTCCTTCCAAAGTTTTCGTAGGTAATTCACTTTTCATCTCCAGTTATTATCCGGTTTAAGAAGGGCACGATTTTGTTCCGACAGAGATGTGTATTGTGTAAGTATATGACGACTCGATCATCCAAATTCTTGAATATTTTCTCTCCATCTTGAATATTTTCACACCAATCCCATCTTCCGAATATGGTTCGAAATGGTTTGATGAGCTAAATTAAGCCTTTCATCAATCTCTGATATTCTTAGAAAAGGGTCTTGCTCCAACATGGTCTTAATTACAGCGTCGTCGATCAGAGATGTTCGCTCATAACGTGGCTTATCGGAGAGGTCAAAATCACCTGTTTTAAATTTTTCGGATCGAAAATCAGAAACTATACCTTCACCGAACACTTTCAATTAATTTCTACATGCTTCTGTAGCATTTCTTCCTTGTTGAAATTCGTGTAAAATACAGTTTCGTAAATGAACTTTATCAGTCGCCAAGGATAAACTCTCGCTTCACACTTAAGACTAATGCGAATCAAGTTTATTTTACTTCATTTGCTACGTTAGTATGTATACAATAAGCGATTAAAATTTAGAGCAGAACATGCGTCAAATACACATGTGCCATAGAGTATATTGCTACATATATAAAACATGTGCTTACATGTCGAAAATTATTGTCATAGAAACTGACAGAACTTTCCGGTAGACTATTATTTATTTTTCAATAACCGACTTAAAAATTATTATTAAAATACAGTGGATTTCGTTTATAACAACGTTAATGGGACCATTACAATTCCGTATTTACAAATTATTACATTTACAAATTATTTTACCCATAAGCATGTATTTTTTTTTATTTATATTTTATTGACAACTCAAGAGTCAATGCGTATTATAAACTATTCCTAAAAAAAAGTTAACAATCGTAGTCACTCTTTTTTTAAAGCCAGTTAAATACAAATCTAAATATATTACTATAAGACCGTGTTCCTATTTGCCTACCTGATAATAAAGCGGACATCAATTAGTCCGTCTGTACGTGTCGCCGATACTATCGGGGCGGCGCGGCGCCCTCGCATTCATTGTATACTATATTTGTTTAAGACCATTAGAGCCAGTCCTTTTATCTGGTACGGAAAAGGTGTTCTTTCAGAAATGCAGACAATATTTTGGATTTTCTTTTTCATAATTGGTCAGTAGTACTTAGTTTAAAAAACGTTTTAAATAAGAATTAGGTATATGTTACTAGCAAAACTCGCGACTTTGCTCGCGCTTAAACTACAAAAAAACTCGAAAAAGATAGGTTTCATACAAATTTTATCCCCTTATGTGATTAATTTCGAAAAAATTTTGAACTCGTATTTATTTAATTGTATTGAAGAGCATTAATACCAAGTTTCAAGTAATTCTGATCACAAATAATTTTTTTGTGTTGTATTATAACGTGTGAAAGAGATAATCTCCCGCGGTAAAAAATAGCCTATGTCACTCTCCTGCCCAACCATCTCCACACATAAAATCACGCCAATCCGTCGCTCCGTTTCAACGTGAAAGAAGGACAAAAAAACAAACACACTTTCACATTTATAATACTAGTATGGATTTAAGTTAAAGAAATTGGTTACATAATTAGTAGTTAGTTAATTTTATTTAAAATTGGTTACATATAAAAAAAATATAGTGTTGAAAAGTATTTTTACCTTATATGTTTTTTTGTACGATTTAGGTACTTATTATTGGTTTACATTTAAATCTGTGGTACAATTTAATCTGTGGTATCAAAAAGTATATATCTAGTTTATTTTTATATCTTTTTGGGCGTATATTGAATATGAGTGTAATAATATTGACATGACTTTCTGGACTTACACATCGATTGTGTGTAATATATCATAATATGTGGAATCCAATAAGGGCTTACTATTCTTCCGAAAAAATGAAGAGTTCCCACGTGATTGAGAGTATTAGCAAATCATGTATTCGTCGGATATACTTATACTATAATAGTATGTAAAACCAATGTATGAACTTGTCTAAGTGCTGTTAAGTTTTCTTAATATATAGGTATTATCATAACAAATTTTTAGAAGAATATTAAATTAGATACCTAACCTACATTATACACGTAAATTAAAAAGCTTAGAAAAGAGTTTTGGAAAAGGAGGTACAAAAGGTAGAACGTGAAGTATAACACAATAGCATACCTATAACGAAAGTATGTATGTCTGTTTGTTACACTTTCTCAGAAAAATCAAATAAGTTTCTTTTGCCAGTTCTTCTTAGGTCTGAGGCTTATTCTTTCCGAACTGGTAGTAGACTCATGACGTTCAGTAAAAAAATGTAATAATTTAGGTAACGTCGAATAAAATATTTTGAATTTTAATGATCTTACTAAAATTAAGTATAGCAAAACCTTGCACTGGAAAACAACAAATAATACTAGGTTTGTCAACCATTAAAGGTTAAGAAATAGCTAATAACAATAAGACCGCCTTTGCATACTTTTTATCTTTTCTTTCATCTTCTGTACTCTTCTTTTGTGTGTTCAATAAAGTATCTACCTATCATTTACGATACATCAAATATAGGTAAAACAATATAATAAATTGTTTGAAAAAAATATTTATAAGATAGGTTTTATAAGAGAAAATTAATGCAATATTTTTGATTTGACTTCCTGGTAACCTATATATATGTTGAGTTAGATGATACCATATGTTTGTATTGCAATACTAAAATAATAATATGCCATATTAAAGATATCTTATTATCTAGTAAAATTAATAATATCCACGAAATACTGATATAGTTTTATAATATTCTTCAAGCTATCACTGTCCTTTCAGAAATTCTTCTTTATATTATACAAACATATTTAGTATAGATTTCGCAGAAATGAGATATTTTCCCGCAGAAAAAAATATCGTATATCATGTTCACCCGGAT